GATGCTACTGCTAGCGGGATTTTCTCATTATTGAAGGCCGTGGGTTTACCTTTAATTATTTACAGACACTTCATATGAACTTTAGCGGATAGTTATCTCATTGGCATTCATACCACATCTCCTTATTTTCATATACATGGAGTAACTTTAAGTCATTTTTTTCAATAACTTCATTGTCTAAGATTACTATAATAGAACAACAAAAGATATGGGGAATCCATCCATAACACAAAATCAGTACATGCACTGCATGCAAAAACCACACAAAAAAGCATAGAAACAGCGCTTTTATTGCTGTTCTAATTCATCTCAAAGTCACTGTGATGCCTTCAACACGGAGCATCCCTTCTACACTACAAACATGCACATTTTATAGCCCAAAACAGATACAAGCATTATAAGGATTAAATGTACATTTTAATGTGAAATATTTGTTTTCACGCTTTCACAACACAGTATGTAAGAGGGATTGGATCGGGGTTTACAGAATAGAAATAATGGCAAAAAAAAATATGACTAGAGAAAAAAGACAAAAAGATATAAAAAATAAAGGATTATTAGGTGCAAAAGTATAAAGTATACAAGGCTCCGTGTTGAAGGCCGTACTTTGACCTATAATGGTTTACTTTTTACAATTGTAACTTGGATGGAGAGTTGTCTCATTGGTACTCATACCACATCTTATATCTATGATAGCCAATATGACAACTAACCACCACAGACTACAGGACGAGGCTGTTAGCGTCTATGGGTCACCGTATGGTCTTCTTAAATGATTAAAACCATACCGGACAATAAGCTATAATAGGCCCTGCGGCATGATAAAATTTAAACAAATTCCTGCTGGTATGATGCAGAATCCATTCCTGCCCAAATTCGCACAAGACAACATAATCTGTGTCCACACTTGTTATGATTATCAAAATAATCTTTTCTCAGTATCTCACTGATTTAAACAAAGCATTTTGAATTCATTGTGTGCGTATCTTATTCTACCATGACAACGTATGTACAAAGAGAGAATTTATAGTAACTAGAATTGGAAATCATACAATACTTTTGCTTAATAGATTCGTTGGGGATGTTCTGAAAAAAGTTCGACTGGTATACCGTGCCAAAATTTCGAAAATGAGAGTATAAAAGGGACAAGGGCAGACATTTCGCCTTCCAAATGGCTACCAAAGGTTTCCATGGTTTCCCAAGACTCTTTCAAGCATTATTTAACATGCAGATAGTGTGGTACTCTCCCTATACAAGTCATCATATAAATATGCTAACCGGATTTGTATGCGCCTTTATTTACATTCCAAATTTGCAGCCCGATCATGGATCTTACTGCTGGTTTGGAGAAGTCCAGATGACTCCATGCAGTCAAACACATGTAGTTGTTTAGATACATGTTATATGAGCAAAAATGGTCTCTCTTTTTAGTATTCCTATTCTGTGTGTGTTATTTTTTAAAGTAAGTTATAATTACTAATGGAAAGAAATTCTCTACTCAGATTCTGTTAAAAAAAAGTTTCATGGTTAACAATAACCCTCGAAGATCTTCTCTTATCCTTCCCCAGTGCTTGAAATCAAATTAAATAACAATATATGACTGTGCATTTTGTTTTCTGATTGAACGTTTTGAGTAGCTTTATATCATTTTTACTTATTTTATTGTTTTTCAAATACATAAATCAGGTCGTTAGTTGAATATTTGAAAGAATGGGTAAATTGAAATGTTTGTTATCAGAGAATTCGCACATACCTTTGTATAGTTACGTGTATATGTTTATTCGTATATGTACAAACATGTAATAATCTTAAATGCATTTTTGAGACTCTTGCACTATTTGAATTGTCTTCCTTTGACCAGAAAATTATCACTACGTCACCAGAGATTGTTTAATTATTACTAAAGAATTCACTAAAAGAACAACAGGAATGCATTTCTAAGACTCTCGCACTATTTGAATTGTCTTTTTCTTTACCAGAAAAATATCATTACGTCACCTGAGTGTGTTTAGCAGTTACTAAAGATTTTCCTAATAGAACAGCAGGAAGAACATACATTGACATGTCTTTATTGACTGGGTAAACATTCCCTACTACATGTATGCATGCATCGCCCGTTAGTGAATCCGGACTCAGTCGAAAGTATCACGTAAAGGAATATGACGTTTGTTTGATATTGAGGTGCAGTATAGGAGGAGTTTCAAATGCATAGAATATTTCATAATAATCCGAAATACCGTCCTGTTATGACTACATTGTGTAATACGTCTAAGTAATTCATTGTCAGAGAGTAACAACTTAAAAGCAGCAATGCAAAGAATATTTAATTGTTTTCAGACCTGGTGACGTACCATATAAGAAAAAAAATTTGAATTCTTGCACTTAAGAATACTAATATACCGTAGCATTTTAACAGAACGCCGAAACTGTCGTTCAAAACACCTACTGCCACAATATGAATAAACAGATTTCTTGCTTTAAAATGTCGCAGTTTTAACTTTTCAATATTTAACTGATAAAATTAAAACGTTTGGTTATTTTTTTTCCCGTAAAATCACATATACTAGAGAAATAAGAGTCTATGATAATGAGTCAGAAACCCAACGACACAAAATAACTTGTTCTCTAAAAACTTAATAGTGTGTCACCGTATCAAATATGAATAATTTGCATTCCGTTAGTATCAGTACTCCAGTAATTTCGATGGATGGATTGGAGTCTAACATCCAGTGCCACAGATAACATGTACATTAGAACGAGAATCTGAAAATTTGATATGAATATATGATACCTGTTGTGTGTTAGACCAACACACTGTTCAAATGTTTAAAAGCTCTAGTTCACAAGGCAAAAGTACGCAGAAAGACATGCTCCTTTAACGTGACATCGAGCCGACCAGTATTTACACCTACTCACAAAATGCCGCGTGTTTAGAGAAGTCAATGCAATACTTGCAGCCTGCAAGTTCCTGCGGATACCACAAGCTCGGTAGTAAGTGGTTGTATGCAGGACTGAATGTTCATCCCATTTTGGAAATGAAAATTGTTGAAAGTTGCAGATTAAAAAGGGAAATCCTTATAATGGTAAATCCAGACAAGCGCTTCGGACGCATGAAGTTTATAACGTGTTGTTTTCATTTTTGTTAGTTACCTCGCATGAACTAATTGGAGAGTGAAGTTGCAAATGAAATGCTTACAGATTCATGCCTTTCCTGAACCGCATAAAGAATCAGACCTCACATGGATTGCGTATAGAGTGAAACCGCGCATGAAATGCATAAAGAGTCAGACATCGCATGAATTGCGTAAATTATCAGACCTAGCATTAACTGCATAGAGAGTCGGTCCTCCATGAACTGCGTAAAGAATCAGACCTCGCATGAACATCGTATAGAGTCGGACCTCGCATAAACTGCACACATAGTCAGACCTTATTTGAACTCAGGCTTATGTTGTACTGTTGCACCACTGTCCCAGGTTAGAGGAGGGTAGGCGCATTCTAACTAGTTTAACTCCGCCACATTCTTTATGTGCCTGTCAAAAGTCAGGAGCCTGTAATACAGTGGTTGTTGTTTGTTGCTGTATAACATATTTGTTTTTCGTTCATTAATTTTTACATAAATTAAGCCGTTAGTTTTCTCATTTGAATTGTTTTACTTCTGTAATTTCGGGGCGTTTTATAGCTGACTATGCGGTATGGGCTTTGCTATAGTAGTTAATTTCTGTTTCATTTTGGCACTTACTATGTAATGAGTGGTAGGGATGAGCCGCTGGAATAGGTCACTATTTCATGCTCCATGATATATGAATTAATTTGACATTTGCACCTAATTAACATTCAAAGCTTTGTATACATGAAACATGATAACAATTATTAAAAGCGTAGCTTCCATTGAGGCAATGAGGAAACTGCCTCGTAAGTATTGAACCAAGAAAATAATTAGGAAGATAAATAGTAGACCTACAATTTGTATTCGTATAACATGTATAATAGGATGGTTCAAATCTTAACATTTGACTTTTCTACTGTTTACACAAGGAATTTTACTTCTATACGTACATTTTTAATTCTAATGACTTAAGAACAAATATTAGACAACTTTCGGGTTCGTTGCATTTCCGTCAAAAACTTTATCTTGGTTTTAGTGAACACCATTCGTGCGTTTAGGGGCGTCGTCACTTCCATTCCCATGTTGAGCAATCGGTTGAAAAAATTTGATGCTATATTGCACGATTTAGTCGACAAATTAAATTCTTATAAATGATAATCAGCACTGCTGTCATTAGGGAAATGTGATTAAGTACCAAGGTACAAATATTATTTCTAGTTTATCATGCATAATGACGATCACAAAGACGCTTGATGAACTTTAATAGAGCAGGGATAGAGGCGATCCCCTCTATCTGGTAAATGACGTCATAAAAGCGCACAAAAATTGACGAACTTTTCCTGTGAAGGATATAACTCGAAAGTGGTCTATTAAAAGGAGTGCGGACAACCATGGTCGAAATTAGAACCTACCTTGATATCAGATTATCCAACAATGACGCGTCTGAACTTTTTGTAAATCTTGTATTGTACTCAGTGGTACGACTTTTCTTCTTTTTCCACCTCCAAAGACGTGCATTTTGGAAATATTTTCTTTTAAATATTGTGAGGGAGGGGACATGTCTTTTTTAAACAAACAATTTTTAACAAGATTTTTGTTTTAACTCAACGTCGTTTTATCGTAGTGTTCGAAGTTTCATTGACACCCCCACCTACCCCAAAACCACCCCATCCCCTTAAATTGTCCTCTCTATTTTTCACATATCAAGAATCAACAATTAAAAAAACCAATGGTCGATGCCTAAATTAGTGTCCTGGTTTTGTATGATATTTTTGATGCCATTAACTAAGCAACAATGAGTAATTCAAATTTAACCGCTTATAAACTCTGAATTAAAATTGTGTATGTCAGCAATTTTATAAAAATAGACGAACTACATAATATACGTGTGCGCATATTTTAATGTGACGCTTCTCGTTGTTGACAAAAGGTATATATATATTTAGGAGTAGACTAATTGTATATATTTGTACCGCATACAATTAGCTTATATACAGGTTAGTTTTATTGTGACAATATTGAAATACATTTTGGACATATGGGCGATACAATTATTGCCAAACTTTTATATGTTCTTCAGAAAGGTAAACACTGTGAAATCAATATTTATACGTACTTCAGACAGTTATGGAAGTATGACGATTGTTAATGTGACCTCTATTATATTTAGGACATAAGCTATTATTACTTAACCGCCCCTCAAAATTTGGTCAGTTAGTGTGTGTGGGTGTGTGTGTAAAGGGGGGGGGGGGGGGGTATTTATAAATATGATGTGTTTCACTTGTATTGTGTATTCAAAAGGATCATGTCGTCATGTTCATGCTTTAACATGTTTAAGCCGATTTTCGGAAATACGAAATGAAAGCGGGGGCGCAATCAATGTTATGTTACTTGCTTTCATTTCGTATGAATTTCTGAAAAATGAATGTAGCATTTAGTTCTTATATATACACATCTTCGAAATAAAGACATATATATATATGATACTAATTTGAAAATGAAAGTATAATTATCTTTAAACACAATAATTCGACAGAAACTGTTTGGTAATTTACTGTGTTTATAAGTAACCGATCGCAACTTATATCCACTACGGTAACGGATTATTTAGAGACCTCTAATATATTGCACTTCTGTAACTATAGACAATGCAATTCCTTATAGGAACTCATTTTACTGCTAAAACTGTGCCATTTTTACTATGAAGTTTCGAAGAAATTCTAATAAACCATAAAGAATTATATCCTAGAATGGAAAGTGCATATGCAGTACATTTTTTTGAAAAAATTTAATTTGAATTAGAATTATATATATAATAATTAATATAACATATATGATTAATATTTAAATTTCTCATTAAATTGCGCACGTCGCAGAGAAACTCATTAAATTGCGCACGTTGCAGAGAAATCAGTGTTTGGAAAGAAAGATATATACATAGAGATTGCAAGATAAGTCACTTTTTCGAATTTCAATATTAGCATTTTTATACGCCCGTTTACGGGACGTATTATGGTATACCGTTGTCCGTCTGTCCGTCCGTCTGTCCGTCCGTCCGTCGTCAACATGTCGGACATTAACTGAAAAACGCTTTAACCAATTTGCATAAAACTTTGGTGAATTGTTTATATCTATTGACGTGAGCTCCCTTTCGTTTTTTTATAAATTTTAGATTTTACGTTTCCGAGTTCTGGGGTTTTATTCATTAAAAGAAGGGGGATTTTCTAGTTTTCAGACAAAAACTCAAGAATGCTTTCACTAACTTGCAAGAAATTGTGGTCAATTGATTATATCTATTGACATGAGCTCCCTTTCGATTTTTATATATTTTAGATTTTACGTTTCCGAGTTACAGGGTTTTATTCATAAAAAAAGGGGAATTTTTCAGTTTTCGGACAAAAAATCAAAAATGCTTTCAGCAGTTCTTATGAAACTTAAGTGAATTGTTTATATCTATTGATGTAAGCTCCGTTTAGAATTTTATAAATTTTTCATTTATCATTTCTGAGTTATGGGGTTTTATTCACTAAAAAAGGGAGGATTTTCCAGTTTTCGGACAATAACTTCAGCAGTTCTTATGAAACTTTGGTGAATTGTTTATATCTATTGATGTAAGCTCCGTTTAGAATTTTATAAATTTTTCATTTATCATTTCTGAGTTATGGGGTTTTATTCATTAAAAAAGGGGGGATTGTCCAGTTTTTGGACAATAACTCAAAAATGTTGTCAGCAATTCTCATGAAACTTTGGTGAATTGTTTATATCTATTGATGTAAGCTCCCTTTACATTTTAATAAATTTCAAATATGACATTGAGAATTAATTGAACTTTATTTGATTATAGTCTGACAACAGATTTACTAAGTATTGCGCAACAGCACAGTGTATTGCACAACAGAAAGAAATCTTTAATTGAACATAAATTCAATTCATATAACCAATTTCAAGTTCTTTGGCTACATTTATTCAGAAACCTATAATATGTCAAATATTCAATTACAATCCAAATTCAGTCCTGTATCAAGCTTGAATATTGTGTCCATTTTTGCCCCAACTGTTCAGGGTTGGACCTCTCCGGGCGTATCCAGCTGCGCTCAGCGAAGCAGTTTATTATACATAGAACGAACGAAATGGGTTATGTCAAAATGGAAGGATTTTTGTAAATGTTGCTTACAACATCAGGACCCGGTTTTCAAGTACTACTAGTATAAGGCAAGATTAGAAGTGGGAAACGTAAAAAGGTCTATCATATGCATTTATAATATATGTAGCTCCATAACACACACACACCCCTCAATCGGCAGTCTTCGTTGTTCATCCCGATGGTATATTAGGTGGCATCTAGTCTAAAATACGCACGAAATGCTGATACATTATAACGAGTTAGTGTGCATTGTTGGTTGCTTCTTTTGGGCTTTTTGTAATTTGGATATCTGTCCTAGTATGTTATAAATCAAATATGAGAATTTAAGACAAACGAATGATCATGAATTTGATCGTGATCTAATGGCGCTTTACCAAAGAATTATAGTAATAAGGATTATGAAGTTTTAGATAATTATGATAAACTGTTTAAAATTATTTAAAATTTTACATGTAATTTCCTTTCTCAATTTGAAAATAAGAAGTTATGGTATGATTGCCAATGAGCCAACTATCCACCAGAGTAAAATTGAAACTACATTTGAAGTGGCTGTAAGCAATTATAGGCAACCGTATTGCCTTCAACAATGAGAAAAACCCATACCGTATAGTCGGCTATAAATTTGTATACACAAAAGAACCCCAACATATTTCTTAGATATGGACGGGTGAATTAAATACTGTAAATGTACTTTTTTCGCGATTTTAGTATTGTCGATGAATTCGTGTGCATTTAATTTCGCGGTATTTACAGAAATATCAAAACTTTAATAACGGACTCATTATAATTCTTAAAATTTCGGTAAGTAGGTCTTCAATTATTTAACAATATGAAACAAAATAAACAAAGAATATTCAATCCTCAAATCAGTCGTCTGTTTTGATAGACATGTTCCGGACCATATGAGTATTTGGAATTATACTCATATGGTCCGACCATACGCGTATGATCCGACCGTACGCGTATGGTCGGACCATATGAGTATATACTCGTTTGGGTATTTATGGGCCGGACCATATGAGTATTTGGACCATATAGGTATTTTTACAAATATGCATGAGAAACGTTTCAATAATACAATAAACTTTATCTTTATTAAAAAACACTGCGTGCAGTGATACCGAGGTCTCGGACCATTCCGATGTGTCTACGGTGTTTTTAAGAAGCTTTAAATCTCCAATATTGTAACATGACTGTAGTACACCATAAATGGCTGACCCGTGTGAAGAGAGAGTCATATATCTTGCACGTAAATTACACCCTTGTAGATTTCGAAAAAGAGCAGGCTAATGCCGCTACAAGTCAGCACTCGCACCTGCAAGGTGGAAAGGGATTAATACAAGTTGCGATAACTTGTTTCCCAATCCACTATAAATAAATATGTTTAAACTAAACTAAACTAGTACACCATATTCACAGGGAAACTTAAATAAACTATGGTCCTTGCCGGTGATGTCATCTACTCTACACAATAAACATGGTAAATAACCAGACGCCTTGTCAACCACCGGTATACGTAAAGAATCAAAACTTCCTTTTACAATATGTGCATTTGATTTTGATATCTTCTTATTGTACTTACAAATAGTGAGTAAAATTAACTGTGTGAAACTGCTTATTTTATATTTAGTTAATCTTTTTTATTATTAAAATATAATAAAATTACCTTTTTAATGACGAGACAACTAGAAGGGTCATTCCTTATGAAGTGTTTAAAAGTATTTAAAGTAAACGTGTAAATTACCCCGACCATACGCGTATGGTCGGACCATATGAGTATATACCCATATGGTCATGACCATACGCGTATGGTCCAAATACTCGTATGGTCCGGAACGGACATATAATACTAATAATACGATTAAGTCGTTAATTACTAATTATACCTGTCATATTTAGCATGAGATATTATTTTTCACCTTTTGTCCTTTTATTCTTAATTGAATTTCTGTAAATATAACTGTTGTTGTAACAGTTTAGTTTTAGTTTCAGTTGAGGTTATATAAGCATGAAAATACAGTTTTAAATTCCAGTAATATTTTTACGATAGTTTTCAGTGTATATAAAGTGCGAATCCAGTTAGTTCATATTCACTGTCGTATGCGAGTATGTCTATTGCAGAATAAAGGATGATGGGAAAAACTGCGTTTGTTAACTTTTTGAAAATACAAAATAATTGATTTGAAAGTATGTTTTAACACAATTTTATTAGAATATAACTTTTTAATGTATAATACCAGGATTAAAGTCCAAAAAAGTGTAATTAAAGCAGCTGACTCAATAATATTGATAACTGAATGTGATTCATTTTAACTATAAATGCGATGCGATCATTTCTGATGTGGAATTTTAGGAGGTGCGATGAATTTTCATTGTTGTTTATATGACAATCCAACATGCAACAACTGAAAATAGTCTTTTAATGACTATAATATTGTTGATATTTACAATTTGAAATGCAAGCTAGTCGTAGATGCTTTCTTGAATATACACGGGTATAACCAACGTATGGTTGATTCCGGAAGTTGTGCGTTGTGTACCGTTCGTCGATTTTTAGTCCCCTACCGACGAAGGTTTGAACTCCGTCCGTCTGTCCGTCTGTCCGTCTGTCCATCTGTCCGTCTGTCCATCCGTCAGTCCGGCAAATCAGCTTTCCACACTTTTTTTCTTCGTTCTTGAAGATATTGATTTGATATTTGGTATATAGTTTTATCATGACAAGTTATAGACAAAGTTCGAATTTTGTTCCGGTCTGATGATTTAGGTCAGAGTTATGGACCATAACT